CCGCTTCCTGTGTAAGGCAGGGTCGTACTCTCCGAATGTTGTAGAGCAGGGGTGTCAAACTCATTTTAGCTCAGGGGCCACATGGAGGAAAATCTATTCCCAAGTGGGCCGGACCGGTAAAATCATGGTATATATAACTTAAAAACAACAACTTCAGATTGTTTTCTTTGTTTTAATACTATCAACATAAAACATAAAGCTGGAGCCTGAGGACAGTGTGTCCAAAATAGTACAAGCACAACATCACTATTAATCATAAAACACCTCAAGTTTATTTGAAAATTCTAAAGAAAAAGAACACGCAAACACACAATGCCTCTGTGATTCACAGAACTGTTTCACAGATCACAGAACTATATCAGGGTGTCATTTCTCAGGCAGAAATGTAGATACAAATAATGAAATCCTGTTCCCCAAACAAGTGCAAGAACCACAGAGTCAAGAATAGGTTAAATATACAAATAAAATAAAATCAATTAAAAACAAGAGCACATCAACATAAAAACATATAAACATAAATCTGAAACGTTTCTCAAACTCCCGATAACAGTCCGTATTTTATCTTTGAACCGCTTCATGTCTGCCACATGTTTGGTCGCGCACACATTTTTCAGACAGGGGAAGTGAGCTGCATCACCACCGGCAAGTTGCGTCTCCCACAATGACAGCTTCAACTTGAAAGAACGTATGCTGTCATAATACTGCGTGACAACTTTGTTGCGCCCTTGCAGCTGTTTGTTCAAGTTATTCAGGGGCTCTGTAACATCCACCATAAATGCAAGGTCCTGCATCCATTCTGCGGAATGAAATTCTAACACTGGTTTGCCCTTTTCTTCCATGAACTGTTCAATTTCTTCTCGTAAATCAAAGAACGCCTCAGCACAGCACCTCGGCTTAACCATCTTACCTCAGTGTGGTATGGCAGGCCATAGATGTGGTCTTTCTCTCTGAGAAGGCTGTCAAACTGACGTTGATTCAGGCTTCTGGATCGGATGAAATTAACAGTTTGGATAATATAATAATATAATAATAATATAATAATAATATAATAAAAATAATAACCACCTTCATGACGTTATCCAACTTTAATGACTTGCAACACAAAGCCTCCTGGTGCAAAATACAGTGAAAAGTCCAATAATCACGTCCTCCATTTGCAGATTGCACTTTCTCTCTGAACTTTGTCACAACGCCTGCTTTTTTCCCGATCATTGAGGGCGCACCATCTGTAGCCAGGCTGACAGCGCGGGACCAGTCCACTCCGACCCTGTCCAGTGCACTGACGAGTGCAGTGAAAATATCAGCTGCTGTCGTTGTATCTGTCATCGGCACCAACTCCACTAACTCCTCGGTGACGGTCAATGTGTCATCACCTCTGCGGATGAAAATGGCCAGTTGTGCAACATCTGTAATGTCCGTGCTTTCATCAATTGCAACCGAAAACGCAATAAATTACTTTACTTTTTGCTTCAACTGGCTGTCCAAATCCACTGAAAGATCGGAAATCCTGTCTGCAACTGTGTTTCTTGTCAGGCTGATATTTGCAAAAGCCTGTCGCTTTTCAGGGCACACAATCTCCGCTGCCTTCATAATGCATGTTTTTACAAATTCACCCTCACTAAATGGTTTTGAAGCCACTGCGATTTCATTAGCAATGAGGTAGCTAGCTTTCACTGCAGAGTCACTGATGTCTCGGCTGTGAGTAAACACAGACTGCTGTTTCTTCAGACCCGCCAACAGTTCATTCACCTTCTCTCATCTCCGCTGTCCTTGAAAGTTGTCATATTTGTCGGCATGAAGACTCACATAGTGGCGACGAAGGTTAAATTCTTTCAGCATAAATATGATGACCATTTTTCTTGGAACACTCTGCACTCTGCGTCCACTTTTCTCTTTTTTGACAGAGACATATTGGGGCAATGAGGGTGCCAAAGCACATAATGTTAAAAGTAGAAGCCGTAATAAATATCGCGGGCAAAACAAAGTAGCTCATTGGCTGCACGTGCTTGACCTACTTGCTCTGCCCCGGTATAAACAGTTTGCTTGCTTAACACAATTTCTATTGCGCCATCCAGTGGACGCAATTGGAACAGCAGTTTATTTTATTGAAAAATTGCAGCGCATTTTTATACTTTACAAAATTATTATTATTATTATTATTATTTATTTTTTATCATCTCGCGGGCCGGATTAAACCCGTTTGCGGGCCTGATCCGGCCCGCGGGCCGGACGTTTGACACCCCTGTTGTAGAGCATGAACCTACAGGATCGGGTCACCGCCTTGATGTTAGCGGAGAACGACAGGGTGTTGTCCAGGGTCACGCCATGGCTCTTCACACTCTGGGAGGAGGACACAACGGAGTTGTCAACCGTGATGGCGAGATCATGGAGCGGGCAGTCCTTCCCCGGGAGGAAGAGCAGCTCCGTCTTGCCAAGGTTCAGCTTGAGGTGGTGATCCGTCATCCACACTGATATGTCTGCCAGACATGCAGAGATGCGATTCGCCACCTGGTTATCAGAAGGGGGTTGATGATAGAACTTAAACAAGTTGTAAATGCAACAAGTACGGATATTCTATCATATAACAGCACTCACAGCTTTCCATGAAAACTCAAACGGAATATTTTAGGTTGACTAATTTATTACACCATTTCTGATATCACATGCCTTACTTTTATTTTCCTGCATCGGTAAAACAGGAAATGCATCACTTCTGCCTCTACTGCCATTCATTCCAATTAGACTGGTTTGGATTTCTCCAAGATGGCTGCCATTTTCGGAACCATTCTGGAATGTTGAGGGTTTATGACATAGCCCCTCAATTAATTTAATAGGATCCTTACGCTTGGAACCGCTATTAGTTAATTTAATTAAACATGTATAAAAAAAATATGTGGATGTATTAGACTTCAAGGGGGGCATACTGCACTGTACAGCCTTACCTATGGATTGTGGATCAATGAAATGGGTTATCAGCCTACTCAGTGACACACAGAACAACTCTGTAATAATAATAATAATATGCCATTTAGCAGACGCTTTTATCCAAAGCGACTTATAGTCATGCGTGCATACATTTTTTTTTGTGTTTTTTTTTTTGTGTATGGGTGGTCCCGGGGATCGAACCCACTACCTTGGCGTTACAAGCGCCGCGCTCTACCAGCTGAGCTACAGAGGACCACGTATACCCTACATGGCTGTTAGTGCGGGACTACATGCACGCATTGAGCAAATTCACATAATCCTTCTTTATGAATTGTATATCTTTATCTTATATCGTCATACCATTTTGTTTGGTAGCAATGGTGATGTGTTGCTCAAATAATATGTGAAGTGGTTTGACCGTTTTAGCAGTTCATCACGGTTCCACTGGATGAAGAACGCAACTTTTTACTCAAGCTGTTTTTATTAAGGGTTGATAGCTCCATCTTGTGGTTGAACGGGGCTACTACACACACTGCATTCATCACATCTTCACTGACATCTCTTCAATTAGGTCAGGTGGTGGTAATACAAACAGGTATCCTGAACGATGCCCAAACTTAGCACTAAGAAGCATGAAAGCAGTAAGGTAATGTAATCAATTTGCACAAATAAAACGTTCCCAAAAGGAGAGTGGCTGTCAGTGTTGTAGTACAAGTATGAAAAATGTATGCACTCACTAACTGTAAGTCGCTCTAGATAAGAGTGTCTGCTAAATGACTAAAATGTAAATGTAAAATGTAGTACTCGAGTCCATGACTCACGATTTTCATGACTCGTGACTCGACTCGGACAGCGGTGACTCGGACATGGACTCGGACTCCACCTGTTGTGACTTAGTTGTCAGAAGTCTCCCTCTTTTTGCATAATTCAGCATCCTAGTATACAGCAGCAAATGTTACCACTATTTAGGCTAACAAATGTGCATCACTAGCTAGGTTTGCATCCAATTGGCGACAGATTTTCATGTGAATATTCTAAAATCTGCATAACTAAAATGTGTGCATTTTTCCACCAGTGGTGTTTCCACCAAACAGACTTGTTGTAGATGAAAAAAACATTGCGTGATGATGTAGTGCACATAAAAGCTACTTTTCCATTTATGTTTTGATGTAAGAAATACAAATCATCTAACATTTTTTAACCAAGGTACTTTACTCGCCTATAAAGGTTGGATGGAAACCTGGTTAGTGTCAATATTAATTAGATATGTAGTTGCCCAGCTTGGCAACACAATTATAAGGCCATGGTCGGGCACTGCACTGTGCTTTGCCTTCTGATGTTCCTTCAGGCTTTGTTTCCATTTAAAACAATTCCCACACTGATCACAGCTGTATGGTTTCTCTCCTGAGTGTTTTCTCTGGTGTTGCTTTAGATTTCCTTTCTCATTGAAGCTCTTCCCACATTGGGAGCAGTGGAAAGGCCTCTCCTCTTTGTGTACTCTCTGATGTTTCTTTAGGTCTCTTACCCAACTGAAGCTTTTTCCACATTGGGAGCAATGGAAAGGCTTCTCTCCTGTGTGTATTCTCTGGTGTTGCTTTAGACTTCCTTCCTTACTGAAGCTCTTCCCACATTGGGAGCAGTGGTGGGGCTTCTCTCCACTGTGTATTCTCTGATGACTCTGAAGACTTCCTTCCAATTTAAAACTCTTTCCACAATGAGAGCAGTGGTGAGGCTTCTTTCCTGTGTGTGTTAGCTGGTGTCCCTTCAGAAGTGATGACTGATTGAAACCCTTCCCACACTGGGAGCAGTTAAAAGGCTTTTCTCCTGTGTGAGTTAGCTGATGTCTCTTTAGGACTCCTGTTTGACTGAAACTCTTCCCACACTGATCACAGCTGTATGGCTTCTCCCCTGTGTGTATTTTCTGATGTTCCTTTAGATTTTCTCCTTTACTGAAGCTCTTTCCACACTCAGAGCAGTGGAAAGTTTTATCTCTTGTGTGTATTCTCTGGTGTCGCTTCAAATTGAATGACGAACCAAAAGTCTTCCCACACTGGGAGCAGTGAAAAGGCTTCTCCCCTGTGTGTATTCTCTGGTGAGACTTTAAGGTGTCTACCCGACGGAACCTCTTCCTACACTGAAAGCAGTGGTACAACTTCTTTCCTGTGTGTGTAAGCTGGTGCTTCTTCAAGCTGCTTGGTGTCTGAAATCTCTTCCCACATTGACCACACGGGTACGTTTTCTTTCTTTTGAGAGTCTGTTGGTGTGATTTCAGGTGAATTTGACAAATAAAACTGCCTCTGCAATCTGAGCAGTGGTGGGGCCCACAAGTGTGCCTTCTCAACTCCTCTGGCTCATAGAAACTAGTGAAGCAGTCCATGCAGTGGTGATGTTTCCGTCTTGAGTTCCTCTGCCTGTGTTTATGGTTTCCTGATGCTGTGGTACTGGGATCGCTGTCTGAACCTGGGTTGGAGCTCTCTCCTGTGGGAATATGGACAGATATGGGGTTAGAATTAGAAAGGGAACATTGAAAGGAGCTTTAAAATACTTTTGATGCAAACAGAAGCACTACAATAGTTTGGGAATCCCCTGTGGTCGCCAAGGCACCAACCTCTCTCCGTACTCCACACCTGAACTTACCTGGGTCACTGATACTATCTACTTCTTCCTCCTCTTCCTCTAGATCTGGAGTAGACACATCCCTGTTCTCCTCTTCCTCTTTGACTCCTCTCTCCTCCACCTCCTCTTTGACTGCTCTCTCCTCCTCCACCTCCTCTTTGACTGCTTTCTCATCCACCTCTTTTACTTCTCTCTCCTCCCATTCCTCTTTGACAATCACATTGAGTTCCAGTGTTTGACTGCAGTCCTCCAGCTTCACTGAGACCATCTCTGGACCCAGCTGTGAGCTTCTCTGGGCTGGAACACCACAGCCAGAACCCAGGGACTCCATGGACTTGGGTTCAGACATGGAAGTCTAGAGATGGATCCAAAAGTGGAAGCACAACACATTTAAGGTGAGTTTCACTAAATACTGGAGCATCTTAGCTAATAAAGGGATAGACCATGCAAGATATTCCATGCACTAGGAATCTCTGCTAATAAATTAAACTAGCTAGCTCACGTTGCTGTGGCGATGGCAACAATATGGTGTCAAGTCCGATTCAAAAGTCGAACGCGCAGGAGATGGCTTGAGCGAGCAAGATGAAACATAATTGCGCGAGGAAACACTGAGTCGAGAGAGAAGAAATGTGGTCGAGCGTAGTGCACAGGCCAGTCGAGAGCGCAAATTATACTTGAGAGCTTGCAAGTGTGACTTTGAGAGAGCAGAACATAATTGTGACAGATCAATAAGAAAAATGATAATAATATGCCATTTAGCAGACGCTTTTATCCAAAGCGACTTACAGTCATGCGTGCATACATTTTTGTGTATGGGTGGTCCCGGGGATCGAACCCACTACCTTGGCGTTACAAGCGCCGTGCTTCACCAGCTGAGCTACAGCTGAGGCCACATGATCTTAAACAGTACATATAGAACTGTAATCAAACGTGAAAATATATTATTTGAACGCATTAATTTGTCCACCAGCAATAGCCACTTGGAGTGATGGACAAACTAACAAATGACTGCCGTTGGCCAGTCCAGTGTTGTGATTGGCTATTACGAGCCTTCTGTTTGCTATGCACTGCAGAGCCGTCTGTTTAGTTGGCTATCTGTCTTGAGCAGCAAGCGCCGAATGACTTGGGGAAACCCAGCAGCTTGATAACCAAATGAATTGGGAAATACATTCTAATAGCTATACTATACCTTGAGTTGAGCGGAATCTACTTGCTAAAGATAGCTAGCTAATTACTTGTTAGCCAGCAACGTTCGTCTGTAAAACGAAAAGCAGACAGTCAGCTCTAGTAAACACCATAAAACGAGTCCACTAATTGCAGGCAGGAGCCAATATTTAGGGTATTAAGCCCAATAACTCACACACAGCACATGCTGTGACGACACAAAGAAGAGGAATCTGCTACAGTTCATCCAGTACATAACCAGTCCCAAATAATAGAATGTAAACGCACATATGATCAACCAGCTAAACTCGGGTTAAAACAGGTCAGAATCAGCTTTATTCGACAAATACATTTGCATGTAAATGAATTTGACACTGAAATGGTGCTGCCACAATAAACAGACAGACAAACAATATACAGACAAAATATATATATATATACACACAATGCTCAAAAAAATAAAGGGAACACTAAAATAACACATCCTAGATCTGAATGAATAAAATAATCTTATTAAATACTTTTTTTCTTTACATAGTTGAATGTGCTGACAACAAAATCACACAAAAATGATCAATGGAAATCAAATTTATCAACCCATGGAGGTCTGGATTTGGATTCACCCTCAAAATTAAAGTGGAAAACCACACTACAGTCTGATCCAACGTTGATGTAATGTCCTTAAAACAAGTCAAAATGAGGCTCAGTAGTGTGTGTGGCCTCCACGTGCCTGTATGACCTCCCTACAACGCCTGGGCATGCTCCTGATGAGGTGGCGGATGGTCTCCTGAGGGATCTCCTCCCAGACCTGGACTAAAGCATCCGCCAACTCCTGGACAGTCTGTGGTGCAACGTGGCGTTGGTGGATGGAGCGAGACATGATGTCCCAGATGTGCTCAATTGGATTCAGGTCTGGGGAACGGGCGGGCCAGTCCATAGCATCAATGCCTTCCTCTTGCAGGAACTGCTGACACACTCCAGCCACATGAGGTCTAGCATTGTCTTGCATTAGGAGGAACCCAGGGCCAACCGCACCAGCATATGGTCTCACAAGGTGTCTGAGGATCTCATCTCGGTACCTAATGGCAGTCAGGCTACCTCTGGCGAGCACATGGAGGCCCCCCAAAGAAATGCCACCCCACACCATGACTGACCAAACCGGTCATGCTGGAGGATGTTGCAGGCAGCAGAACGTTCTCCACGGCGTCTCCAGACTCTGTCACGTGCTCAGTGTGAACCTGCTTTCATCTGTGAAGAGCACAGGGCGCCAGTGGCGAATTTGCCAATCTTGGTGTTCTCTGGCAAATGCCAAACGTCCTGCACGGTTTTGGGCTGTAAGCACAACCCCCACCTGTGGACGTCGGGCCCTCATACCACCATCATGGAGTCTGTTTCTGACCATTTGAGCAGACACATGCACATTTGTGGCCTGCTGGAGGTCATTTTGCAGGGCTCTGGCAGTGCTCCTCCTGCTCCTCCTTGCACAAAGGCGGAGGTAGCAGTCCTGCTGCTGGGTTGTTGCCCTCCTACGGCCTCCTCCACGTCTCCTGATGTACTGGCCTGTCTCCTGGTAGCGCCTCCATGCTCTGGACACTACGCTGACAGACACAGCAAACCTTCTTGCCACAGCTCGCATTGATGTGCCATCCTGGATGAGCTGCACTACCTGAGCCACTTGTGTGGGTTGTAGACTCCGTCTCATGCTACCACTAGAGTGAAAGCACCGCCAGCATTCAAAAGTGACCAAAACATCAGCCAGGAAGCATAGGAACTGAGAAGTGGTCTGTGGTCACCACCTGCAAAATCAGTCCTTTATTGGGGGTGTCTTGCTAATTGCCTATAATTTCCACCTGTTGTCTATTCCATTTGCACAACAGCATGTGACATTTATTGTCAATCAGTGTTGCTTCCTAAGTGGACAATTTGATTTCACAGAAGTGTGATTGACTTGGAGTTACTTTGTGTTGTTTAAGTGTTCCCTTTATTTTTTTGAGCAGTATATATATATATATATAGATGCAGAATTTCCACAATGAACACTATAAGATCCATTATAAATGATGCATGTAAGAGATGTGCGAAGGGCAATGTGGAGTTCTGGGATGATAGTGCAAGGTGCTTAGTCTGAGGATGAATAGCGCAGAGTGCCAAGTCCATGGATGAGAGGATCATCGTGGCCGGTTGGTGAAGGCCGTGGCACAGGGGAAGAAACTGTTCAGTACACACAGCGTCCAAAGGATGACTGAGGACAAAACAACACCATGCATTCACTAAACACTGCACTGAGGAAAACAGATTCGTTTTACAGAAATTGTCTGATTGGAAAAGACCATTGTCTATCAATTACAGAATCTCAAATTACTTCAATTTGGCATTGGAAGCTTTATTGAATACAGTCAGTAATACAGGAGTCAAATCACATAGGGAGTCTCATCAGATCAGATGTTATCAGCAAGCCAGAGCCATCTGTGGAAAGAGGAGTCTCATCAGATCAGATGTTATCAGCAAGCCAGAGCCATCTGTGGAAAGAGGAGTCTCATCAGATCAGATGTTATCAGCAAGCCAGAGCCATCTGTGGAAAGAGGAGTCTCATCAGATCAGATGTTATCAGCAAGCCAGAGCCATCTGTGGAAAGAGGAGTCTCATCAGATCAGATGTTATCAGCAAGCCAGAGCCATCTGTGGAAAGAGCACAAGTAGAACAAATATATCAGTGCAAACAGAATAAATGTATCATTCAACATCAGTTTCCACCTAAAACAATGACGTTAGCTCTGTCCCAATTCATCTCTGTCTCAACTCCTCACTTCCTCTCTACTCGCATCCTTCTCAAAACCCATTGGAGGAGGTCTGAGGCGAGGAACCTTGGGTCGTCACCTCCAATGGGGTTTTAGGAGGCGCGATGGTCAGTCCTTGCATCCACAGCTCTGTCTATAAATTTGAGAGTGGTTACAAGGTGTCCCAGGCACTGTTTGTGGCCACGTCACCTCCCTCAGAACCAGGGAACATCTCCAGGTTCTTACAGTGGGGAATCAGCATAATCTATATAGGTCAGAACAATACAGGAGATGGAATTAGATTTAGTATGGAGACCAAATCCCAACATAAAATCCTTGACATTGGTTAAAAAGGTCAACAAAAGTATGGCACTGGAGTTTGAGGAAAGTGGAGCGATACACATGTGCCGAGTTGTGTAAGGCATAAGATGAGTTGGTGATTCACTGGTCCAAACTTGGTGTCCTCTGCCTCGTTGGTGTAGTGGTCCAGGGCGATGAAGTAGAAGCCTGACTCCACCTGGTCAAATGTATTCTCTCTAAACACACTGACCTGTCTCCTGAGTAGAAGCCTGATTCCACCTGGTCAAATGTGTTCTCTCTAAACACACTGACCTGTCTTCTGAGAACAACTGGAGTGAGAGAGGGAACAATAAGATGTCAGGAAATGTCACAGAGTTCAATTGGAGTTTAAATGTTTTAACATCAATGTTGCATTCAAGGTAGCAGTCCATTTTAAGACTGCTGTGGCTGTATCGAGAGGAAACTATGGATAATAATGTATCCAAATAAGTGATAACAAGGTGTGGAACTGGACTGAGCCCAGCTGTAGGGCAATTCCACGGTACAGAGGACGCTCAGATCTTTCACTTTAAAATGTATGTCAAACTAAAACCATTTGCCCTGGCCTGTACCAATCCCTGCCACTTATCAGTCAGCATGGCTCAGTATCGAACAGCCTGCGGTCAGTTCATGCTCAATCCACCTCGTGGAGAGCTATCCTCCTATAGGTTTTCACTTCATCCTTTACCTACACTTCTATTATTGTTTAGCAATGACTATCACATACATTCAGTATAGAACTATCCTTCTAACCAAGAGACAAATATACTATGGCACAATGCCTCCATTAAGCGCCAAAGAAATTAGAGGAACTCTCATTACCACTAATGATAAAGTTAAGGGGTTGATTGGTGGATGTCACGGTTACCTGCAGGAAGTCCCCAGAGGGCTGTGCACAGAGGAAAGCTAAGGTAACCTACTTGGAACAGAATGGACTCCTGTATCTCCTGTCTCTGTCAGCTGAGCAGAGAACAACTTCAACCACCACCTATTAGTGACAGTGGACCTGCATGGAAAGAGGGATGGAGAGAGAGAAATGGTTTAAGGTCGTTCTCATTTATTGTAACTTTATCAAATTTGTATTTCAAATCAGATTTTATCTCAAAGTATGTGTTAGCGGTTTACAATATTTACATTTACAT